GAGCCATACTCTCTGAAAGACTTAACCGTTTGAGAGAAACGATCAATGGCTTCTACTCAAAGTTCATACGCAGGTTTAGGTGAAGGGCAATCCACCACGAGGCCTCCATTGTTTGACGGAACAAACTACACCTATTGGAAGGAACGGATGAGGATTTACATCCAATCCACCAACTTTCTCCTTTGGAGAATTATCAAAATGGTGAGAACGTGCCAATGAAGAAGGTCGAGGAAATCAACGTCCCTAAGACCGAGGATGAATATGATGCGCAAGACATCAAGAAGGTGGAAAACAATGCCAAGGCCATCAACATCATCTATTGTGCTGTTAACCCGGATGACTACCGGAAGATTTCTTGTTGCACCACCGCAAAGGAAATGTGGGACAAACTAGAAATCACCTACGAAGGTACGGATCAAGTCCGAGAAGCTAAAATTGATTTTCTAACCCATGAATATGAATTGTTTCATATGAAGGAAAACGAGAAAATCGATGAGATGTTTGAACGATTCTCCAAAATCGTCAATGATCTTCATGCTCTCAAGAAGACGTACACGGACAAGGAGCTTGTGAGAAAAATCCTGCGAAGTCTCACACCGGAGTGGCGCTCCAAAGCCGATGCCATTCAAGAGTCCATCGGCATCACCAACGTCACCATTGACGGACTTAGAGATAACCTCAAAACCTATGAGTCCACCATTCTATTCCCCTCTTTAGGTGAACAAAAGAAGAAGGGGATTGCACTCAAGGCTACCTGAAGCCAAGAACCCGCCATGGAAGAATCAAGCGATGAGGACAACGAGTTCGGGCTCGTCATCAAAAAATTCCACAAGTTCATGCGAAAAGAGTATGAACAAAATGCCCAAACGCCAAAAACGAGAAGGAGAAGAAACCGTTCAAGAAGCACCGAGCTTACATTTCATGGGGAGGTGATTCCGGCGATGAGTCATCGGAAGGCGAAGAAAATGAAAGCGCCAACCTCTGCCTCATGGCACACGAAGAACCACCGGAAGAGGTATGTACCACTTCTAAAGATTCCTATACTATTGATGATGTACAAGAAGCCTTTAATGAACTTTATGATGAATATGTCAACGCTTCTAAAATTAACAAGGATTTGAAGAAACAACTTACTTCCATGGAGAAGGAAGTTGATAAATTATCAAAAGATAATGAAAAACTTAAAGAAGAAAATAAGTTTTTCGGAAAAAGAAGCGCCGACAAACCGAAAAGTTCAAAATGTAGTTCTTGTATATCACTTAAGGATCAAGTTGCAAAACTTGAAGGAACTTTGAAGAAGTTTGGTGTTTCTCATAAAAATCTTAATGATGTTCTTGATAATCTGCAACTTACTAAACATGGCTTGGGTTTTGAAAATGAAACAAATAACAAGGAAAAAAGTTGAGCAACCACCTAAACAACCTAATGCTCAACCTAGGAAAACTAAAATGAACAATAATAGACAATCTACATCAACCAGGAACACTAGACCACCTAGAAAGAACACTAGGATAAACAATGATCAAGTTAGAGAATCTAGAAACCATTTTCCAAATATGCATAAACAAAACTTTTCTCAAACTAGGGTCAAGCA